ACACGAAATAAATGATTCCATATCCCTTGTCTAGGCTGGCATAGTCCACAACCTACAACAGTCCACAGAGTGTTGAACAGGTGTTTTGACAGTACTTAGTACAAAAATGTTTGCTGTAATCATAACATACATTTAAGCTTCCATTATTCTGCTTATTTTAGGCATCGTTTTGCTGTGCTGTGCATTTGTATTTTTAATTTTTCGCTTAAAGCGTTGCATACATCAAAGTTGTAAGCATTTATAGTGCACATATTATAGTTTTTATATAGTTTATTTGTAGTACAGTTTTATTACTTCGACCTGCATTTGCATGGGCGTCCACTGCTGAGAATAATGCTCTTGTACTTTGCAATTTGGCTTTGATTACAGAAGCTTTATAATTTGTTAATGCATGGCTTACACTTGCTTCACAAGCATACAAGTATATTCATACGAATGTGAGTGTAACATATGATACACAAGGAGCAGTTTCATGCATCCACAATTCAGTAGAAATTGCACGAATTTTCTTAAAACTTCCTTGAAGCACATTAGCCGATTGTAACACACAACGAGCATTTAATTACACTGAATTGACTTCTCATTCAAAATGTCAAATTGTACTCACAAAATCTTGAACAATAGTCTGACATTTTCTGTTAACAAACTTTTCGCACGCGCAAAGAGCGCTTTGGTGTGGCCGGGTGGCTTCTGTTCATGTTGAAAACAGTTTTTGCATGTGTACCTCCGCATGTTTGCCGTAGCATAGAAATTGCCGAAAAGCCGAACACTAAACATCTGCTCGATTGACTTTTGCAAAGTTGACTTAAGGACTTTCTAAGGACGATATTTGTTGGACTTATTTCGGGTGTGTGGTCCATTTGTACTCAGTACTTTGGGCAGAATCCTATTCTTCAATTGTCGGCAAAGACAATGACAAGATAGACCCTGCAGTGAAAGTATAACAAACGCACTCACTACTTAAAAGAAAAATCATCACATGACAGCTTACGGTGAACATAAGTTCAGTTGTAAATAGTGAATAAAAAAAAGTAGATTTATACTTTATGAAGACAAGCACCATGTATTTATTACATTTTTGTTTACTTTTAGTACATAAAAAGACAATGTGCACTTTAAACAGTTAATACACCATGTTGAACAGTTAAACAATATTTGGAGGTGATAATGAATATTAATTTTTAATGGCACAGTGATATGCAGTATTCAAAAAAACAGCTTTTTGTTGGTTATTATTAATGTGGCTGTTGTCAGACTTATTGATGAGTATTTATAGAATTCGTGTGGTCACCACAATTATCGGATTTATTTATACTATGAAAACATTGAACATTTTTAAAAAGGGTATACTGAAGTTATGCAAAAGTGTCTAACAGGCAGCGACCCCATAAAGTATAAACATTCTTCATCAGGTTCAACTCCTTACGGAAAATAGGGCAATAAAACTAGAAATTGTTTGAAATGAATATAATCTTAACAGCTGGATTCAGGGTAACTACAAGTCGATCACACAAAGCTAGAGCGTTCGTACTTGTTTTTATTTGTTAAACTTAAAGTGAGTATAAGCGTTTAATGTTAATGTACAACAATATTGACAACGGTTGGCAGTATAAAGCGGATAATAAATACTTTCAACTTTTACAGCACTAACAATGACAAATAGACACATGTGTACAGATTTATACATATATATGTATATATATATACATATATAATAGGGACAAAATAAGGATGGTGCCCTTGTTGATGTCGTGGCTTAACAAAGGCATTCGAGCAAATTTCCGACACAGTTTCCAATGTTGGATGGTCTACGTCTGTTTTTTTGTGTATGTCATCTGCGTCGCTTTATTATATTTAATTGCTCATACGCACAGTTCCTCGTTTTGCTTTCGCCTTTGCCTTTGCCTTTGCCTCAAATAACCTGCCTCCCCACTCCCCACTCTCCCCTCTCTCTCTCTGTATCTGTCCAAAAATGCTGACAATGGAGCTTTGAACGCTTCGGCTAGCATCGCTGTTAAGTCTAGCACCCGAATATGGGAGTCGAGCGATACGATGAACACTCCACTCTTTTTGTGTTGCTGGCAGAAACTGCTCAGTGTTGTTTTCTGTCTGTGTGTTCAAGAGTTTCTTTATACATCCTTGTTGTTTGCTTTAATTACGACTGTTTCCTTACTGGTATTCACTTGGCTACGGTTCATGGTCGGAATTACATGTTTGATAAATTGCTGTTGCAGCAAAATCATCGTCAATACTGTCATATTCTTATCAATGCTGCAATTGTCTGCTTTCTAGTTGCCTTCTAGTTTTTCATTTGAGCTCTCAAGGTTTGAATGCTATTCAAGCTAATACAGTGTAAAAACAACTACAATAAAAATGCATGTTGGAGAATGTGCATCAGGATATATTCCAAAATTGTAAGCATACACAGACAGAGAGCTTAAGCCGATCAAAAATGTATTTGTAAAGTTGAAGGTGTCTACTTCCCATCTCTCTAATACATACCGATTTTATGAGTAGAGAGTGTTTACAGCTCTTCTGGGAGCGATTACTGCGAAATATGAGTGACAGAAAACTAAACAAAAATAAAAACCAAAAAATAGGAAAATTCACGAAGAGACTCTTATAATTCCACGGCTAAATAATTAAGCAATCTTTAATGCAGAGAACGTCTGGCTCCTTTAGTGTGTCTCGAGTCGTTGGCATTCTAAAATTCATTAAAAATTCTCATTGTTTGGTCGTCCGCTTGGCAAGTGCGCTTAAGGTAAATTAATGTTGCTTTAATGGTGAACACGCGTAAATATCTAAACGTTCTCTGCCAGCTTTCATCCTTATAGTGAGCCATGCGAAACGGCGGTCCTTTAATTGAAACAGCGCCAGGCCATTTTCACTCACTTTCTCACAAGACCAAGTCCACTATTAAAGAAAACTCGCCTCATACAAATTAACCAAGGTGATGAAAGCACCGCAACTCGCATCCGGTAACCGACAACCGGCAACACGGAATACTAGCTAGTTATATTGGCATTTCAGCAGCTCAGCAAAAGCAGTCAGTGGCTGTGTGCTCCAGAGTAGGTATAGTTGGCTACAAGCTGGCCACGAATAGTGCTCCACTTCTGGCTGCCCTCGCAATGAATTAATTATGTTTAGCTTGGCCACGCTTGTTTAAAGTTAATTGCTATTTCAAAATGCATGCAACGATTCTCCAGTTCGCAATGAACTAAAACTAATTTTTATTACCAAATTGGATAGCGTTCAGCAAGGTGAAATTGAATCGACCCTCTTAAATTTCTTAATCTTAAAATCAGTCCATTTTGCTATCAAGTAAATTTAAGAACCTCAGCAGACTTAATTAATATTTCTTTTTCATTGTACATGAATGTTTCCATATAAGAATGATTTTAATTCCAAAATCAATAAAAGTGATTTGACTATAAATTCAATACAGTATCCTGTGGCAACAAACATCTTGACTTTTTCTCTTCGTAGAAAAAAGCCATCAAGCTAATATTATAAACAAATATTGTGTATGTACTCTCATGTGCTTATGTGTGCGTGTTTGATGGCAATTTATTCAACTTTTGTCAAGCTGAATATTTCAGAAAATGTATTGACCAAATTTGATCAAGGGATGAACCTTACGGTTAAAGTGAGGATATTAAATTTAGCTATCGAACAGCATTTGTATGCTGTCGCCCGGCAAATATCAAAGCGAAGGGAAGGCAAGTAAGGAGAGGATATTGTGTCGGTTGCTTAGGTTGCCCACCTGCTCCCTGCTAAGGTTGTGCTGTGCACTGCACCATTATCCTCTAATAAATATTGATTTTGGTGTAATAAAAGAACATGACAGAAGCTAACAGCATCCTCGATGGCATTAACGGCCCTGTCGCTCATCGGTCACAGCGAGCGTTCTGGACCTTTTGGGGTGCGAACTCCCAATAAATATACTGATTAAACAATTGCTCCCGAGCAAAATATATACCCGATTTACGAAATAAATCGATGTAAATTATTTGCAACAAAGCTTGAGATTATTCAAAATTAAATATAAGTACCAAGCTCGAATTATGCAAATTTTTTCTCATTTCAAAATGGAGTTCACCTTTTTGCTGTTGTCCCCCTCCCCCTTGACAGTAATTTTTCTCAACGTGCCATGCTACCCACAAGCCGGGTTGCAGAACTGAAGCCGGCGAGTATTTCGTGCAGATGTGTTGGGTCGGTGGGAAGCTGAGCAACGTCGCCTCATGGAAATAAATATGGAAATGTCATGTTTACAAGTTCTGGCAATAAAAGCCACCCATGAAGCTTATAAAATGCAAATGATTCCCTCTAAATTTCCTTTTTGTACAACTGCCATTCACAGATTTCAGCTAAGAGCACAAATTTCCCAAAAGAGAAAATATCCTTTATGGCAAATTCCTCACTTTATCTGGTTATTTTGCGGTCCAAGCAACAATACCCACACTTAAGGCAAACCACAATCAGCGCAACATTCACAAAGAGTGTGTGAATTTGTATTATAAATAAATAAATAATTTATATATGCTATTTTTATATCATTTTTTATGACTCAAAAAACAAATAACCTGAAATGAAAAAATTTGCAATTTTTATTGCCGCTTTCTCAATCAGTTAGAGAATATCTTCTGCTCTAAATTTATAAAATGCGACTCCTCCAGGATTGATGTGAGTTGTAAACTTATCCTTTGGCTTAAACAATCCCAAATGCCGACTGCTATCAAACAAATCCTGCAATATTTTCTCAAGAAAAATATTTAAATTATTTACATATAAACGCATTTCTTTCTTACATAGACCGCATAGCCCATATTATTGTTAAGTCCCAAGTGTTCCAAGTCAATGACATGCGCTTGAGGGCACAGTGGGCATGGTTCGTAGCCACCAAGGAAGACAACAGCTACAGCATAGGAAAATAAGCCTACGTTGTTTTGTGGTGAAACGGGGCGCAGCCAGACCTAGATATTCAGATGTGTTTGAGTACATTAAGTGAATAAAGGATTTATATATACACTGATCTGTCTAGATCGAGATCTAAATGCACAATGCCCCGGTATGCCCAGTGGATCCTGATCAACCTCTATTATATCTCTGTATTTGTAAAATATTTATCAGTATCTTTTTAAATTGAACCATTAAGAAACTGACCGATTTTGTAATAACTCTTTTATTTCAAGACGCACGGACTGCAAGTCATTCGTCATTATAAGAGGAGCAGCAACCACTGCCCAAATGGCCAATTGTAAACGACTCGCTTCATAGCTCAGATGATAATTCCCAAGCACCAGCTGATAATGAACGATCAACAAATTAATATGCTAGAGATGTCAAGCCATATATCACATATTAATCACCCACCATATCCGGATCATTCCAGTGACCTGGTCCGGCACTTTTCTGCAATGCATTTTGATGCTTGTAATAATTGTACATGATGCTGGTCACACTATCGTACGAGTCCTTGACATCCTCTGAGAATCGCCAAAGATTACAGTGGTCCTTGATCAATTCGTAGTTAGGCTGAAATTTTAAGGTTTTGAATCAATACACGTTATACAGACAGATACAACAAACGTGTTTTTGATAGTACGGCCAACTACAAGAATAAACCATCGGCCGACCCGTCCTATTTAAGGCCTTTCCAAAAGCTGGGTAGGCGATGTCCAGATCAATGCCTCCTATATAACATCCATCTAATTTCACATAATCCACTTTCCAACTGGCAAAGGTATCAGCATCGATCGCATAATATCCCTTCGCACCGGGTCCTCCATGCATGCAAGTTTTCGCACCGATATCGTGATATATGCCAAACTTTAGACCTTTTGAATGTATCTGGTAAGTTGTATATTAATTATTTATACAATATCGAAATGAATTAGACATACGTAATCGGAAAGAAACTTCATACCGCGGGGAAAGCGCTCTCGATCGGCAATTAGCTGTCCTGTGTTTTCATCGCGTTGTTTTTCCATCCAACAATCATCGATTATTAAATATTCATAGCCAATCGCCGCATATCCTTCAGTTACCAAAAGGTCTGCCATGCGCATAAAAAGCAACTCACTGTTAACGAGGAAACCAAATTTAATTGCTTCACATGTACAACAAAGAATGTTGATTTCACTCTCAAACAAAAACCTTTAACTACTATTTATATTCATAGAAAAACCATTTTTCAGCTTTCATATAATCGAACATAACTATTTCTACGTTAAATTTCTTTTAGAGTACATAAAATTGGCTTTATATAAACAACAAGCAATTTTGGTCTAAATATTAAGAAAGTTAAAGTTATTTAATTTATTTATTACTTGTAATATAAAAAATCTACAATTTTGACCAGCACTTTGTTCAACATATTTATATCGATCTTAAATAATTTATTTATACCCCATATTTGTACTTTCACCTGATACAGTCCCTGGGGAACTTGACACAATCAGTAAGGCAGCGGAACCGTTCAAATGGCATCCAGCCCATTGGCGGCGTCTTTGCCAATCTATTATCAAGTCCGACAATGCTGCTCAGAGGGAGACAACTCACTATTAGCAGCAGCAGCATGTCTTACGGCAGTATGTTTTGACTTTAACGTATTGCAACAGCAACGCTTCTCTGCAGCTAGATTTATTTTTCGGAATGGACCTTTTAACTACACAGTTGACAATCACAAAAAAAAAAAAAAAATAGAAATGGCATATTTTACATGCGAATCATATCGTTTGTCAACTTGGCCAACTTTGTTATAACAGTATATATGTATATATATATACCTTGGTATGTTTGTGCTTATTGATATTGAATTTAAACTTCTACATAAGTGCCCTTCATGCGTCTCTCTTCCACCGCCAGTTGCAACCGAACTGTTTGTTGTTTGCTTATCTGCTATGCGAAATCCCACATATATATTTCATAGAAGTCTGTGTAATGAATATATGTAGACCCCATACAATTCGTTTCAGTATAAAGTAAGTTTACACACTCCTTTCTCGTAACTTAATTTTTTGTATATAAACAGTATAATTTGCGGTAATACTGACTGTTGTTGTTAATGAAAATTGTAATTGCTTTGCCTAGTTGAATTTACGTATTTTTACTTGATAACTTGAATTGTATAGTTCTTCCGCCCACCCTAACCATCGCGACGAGAATACACTTGGGTGTGGCCATTGCAAGTTTGCCGAAAGTTTAGTCTACACGCCCCTGGGCTCTTAACTTTTGAGTGCAGCGCTTGGAATAATTTAACAGCCAGGCGCCTATTTGGGTTACTTTGTGCCACGTGGCCTCTTCAGGCCTCTTAAGCGACATTTTAGTGTATGCTCTTAATTTAGTGTTGGGAACGTTTTGCAGAAAACTCCAAGAGCACTTGACTGATGAGTTTTATAAGTTGGCGCCACCGCACGATGTTAAAAGAGACCACCAGCTCAGTCCGGATGATAAAAAGTACAAAATGTAATATTCTCAGAATTAATAAAATTAACTTGTGTTAATTGTAAGTGGATAAATTTCGAATTATGCAAAAGCCATACTCAAAAATCACTTAGCCATATTTGACAAATATGTAGGTCGTTAAATACATATACTCAATGGACCTGAGACGCAATAATGACAATGTATTGGCCGACTTATATGTGTAGATGCCAGTGCCAGTGTCGTACAAATAAAACAGAAGTGCATTATATGCAGACCACAGATGCATATGGACATATCTGACAAATATGTGTATACTACTATCTATGGCCAGGAGGCGGATACGAGTTCCGTTTGCTAGGAGTAAATAAACAAACAGTCAGCACGTTATGCCAATTAAAGGCATCCCCTAGCCGAGTGGAATGTTAATGTTAAATTTATGCAAATTAAATGATTTGTAATATGCTGCGACTCCTCCTCGGAAATGCAGATGTTGCCAACCTGATGTTGACATCCTCGACCTAAGCAGGCACACCCCTTGCCATGCCTTGTTGTGCCTTGTCGGCTAATTAGTTAGAAGGAAGTTCGCTTGTTGATTTAACTTCACATCATGCTACTGGGCGCTTTTGTTACCCCATTTGAGCAATTTGAAATTGGCCGAGTGCGCAAAGTGCACGCGGAGTGCGGAATAAAGCATTTGCTATAGCATCCGTCGCATCTGATGTTTCGTTGTTGCTCTCAGAATCTTTGCCAACTAATTAATTTGTACTTTAGCTTCTTACCCCGACTGTGGCCATGGCACAGACACGAGCACCGGCACCGGCACCGGCAAGGCTACGACCCTAACGCGTGTGCACGTGTGCTCTCTGTGTGTGTGTATGTGTGTATGTGTTGGTTGGGTAGTTTTCTCAGTTAATGCCTCGAATATGTTAACAAGATACTTTACAATATGCCATAAAAAAGGCAAGCCTGGAGGCAAGACAAGGTAAGAGGGCGGAAGCCAAAGTCAAAACAGTCAGCGGATTTCTGTGTTCTGTTTACATAGGTTTTCACCAGCGAATCATGGCAAACCTACCTACTTCCCAGATTTGCTTCTTTCCGGCACTGAAATGGCTGACAACACACATGTTGCACCCACACATACACACACACACTAATACAACATACACTCAGATCTAGACCCTGATGAGTGAGTGCGTGCCTACTCAGATGTGTTGTAAAATTATGCATTAGTTTTATGTCATTTTGCGGCATATTAAAATCTCCTTAATTACGAAATGTAATCAACAAAGCTTTGCTGCACACTTTTCCTCCATGCTTTTGGCTTTGGCTTTTGGCTTAAAGCGCTTTTCGTGATCCCTCATGCTCTTTTTTTGTTTACATTTTTTGTTATCGTTGTGGTTGCTGTTGTTGGTTGTTTGTTGTTTTATTTTTATTTTTGGCTCGAGCCAAGTACGTGACAACCAGCAGAGGCTAGAAAAGTCTTAGTAAACGAAATCCTAGTCCAACATTTTTTTACTTCGCCTAATGTTTGCTTGGCCCCAATATGTGCCATGTACCAAGGAGTGGAAATATTCTCATCCATTAAATAAATGTGCAAACAAGGTTTGTGTATATATACCGACTAGCATCTATTCATCTATTTATGTATGAACAATAATTTTCACGTTTCCTACAAATACCCGCACACACACCTTTACATATCCACATATTCAATTAAAATGACACATTCATAATTGAGAATAAAGAACTTCGTATTCTGATAACGACTTTACGCATGCTTCAATTATAATTTAATCATATTTTGTGTTACGTAAAAAATGTGGACATATGTATTTTTGGTAATCTGCCCTAACAACATAAAAGCTACAATAATATTTTTTACTATTTCGAATTGCTGTTCAAAATATGAAGCTTTAATTTAAGTCTGGCGTACACAAGTATTATGGAAAAATATATACAAACATATACAACTATATATCGTGAATACTAATAACTGTCTGTTTTTGCTGAAATATATGCATGTTGATTTCTGTGCATATTTATTAAAGGAAACCAATGTTTTTCAAGCTACTTCACTTTTAGTAAAATCGAGTACTCTCGACAAGAGCACGAAAGTTGTATAACCTTGTGGAGTATATTAAAATTTTCTCATGATATGTAACTCTTTGAAGGCACCGTCTGTCTGATCCATAAAGTATATATGTTCTTGATAAGCATCAGTTGCTAATTCTTTAAGTTGTTGGTTTGTGGAAGCAAAACCAAATAAAATATGCTGAAAAATTATACAAATATAATAAAATTCCAAACTCTGGACTAAAATTTATATGTAAACAGTTTTACTTAACTTAACTAGAAGTGTATTTAGTCTTCGGTTTGCCTAAAATAGACTCTATTTCTTTTTTTATGGCTGTGTAAATTGTTTTCCACGAATTTAGTGTTCATTAAACATTCATCTCAACACAAGTGTCGTGCAGCTAATTGAATCAATTATAATTTTGTGCAGTTTCAAAGTGTGGAATTCAACAGAGTTTCACAAAAGCTACTGGCAAAATGGAATTATTAATGTTTTTCTTTTTGTAACCAAGTAACGAGATGGGTAGATGAGTTGTGAGTTGAGAGCCAAATTGAAGTGCAATAATAAATGTCAATAACAGAAGAACTCAGAACTCGTGCAAAATGCGGCAGGCAAACAAAAAATAATTACAAATGCTCAATAATTGGTTGATAATTACTTGTTATTAACTCAATCCGCTCTCTCTCTCTCTCTCTCTCTCTCTCTCTCTGTCCCATTTCCATAGTCTGAATAAATTTGATATAAGCTTCATTTTCAATCGAAAATGGGGGAAATAGCGAGCGATAAACGCATACATTCTTATATACATGCACATATGAATAAAGTCGCCTGAATCCATACATAAATTAGCTCATTCACTGGATAACGGCCTCGTCGTGCTTACGACCCTTTAATTGCCTCGAATTGTCTGGGCTAAGTACGTTTTTGTGTTATCAGCGCCATTAATAATAAACACAATATGGCAGCTGCTACGTCGTCGTGCATTCATAAAAAATATAAAAAAATATATATATATAAATTGAGCTGAATGAAGTCAACGCTAAAAAGTGCATTATTTATACAATTATGTGTGAAGATAATACCTCTTTTATGACGCCAAGTAGAGCTCCATTTCGAGCATGGGCGTAGGCTCGCTCTTTGTTGGTAGGGGTTGGGGTGGGAGTGGTGGTGGTGGTGCGCGGTTAGAATAGATGCACAGGTAAAGGGCTGGCGTTGAGGCGTAACGCTGCCTGTTGGCTGTTTGTAGTTGGCAACAACAACAAAAGCCTATTATTCTGCACGTAATAAACATAAAGTTGGCGCAATTTGTAACATAAATTTAAAGGGCTAACGTAAATCTTAGCGGCAATTATGTGTTCGGCGAACGCGGCGAATACGCAACGCGACGCGACGCTGCTCTGGGTTCATAACTCATGCGCTTCATTTCCAGTCTGGCACGCCAGGTCTTACTACTACAAACGCAAAAACCAGCAACAATAACAGCAGTAACAACTGCAACAACAACAACAGCAACAGCAACAACAATAACAACAACAGCAATAATAAAGAAGACGACGCCAGCGAAAGGAATTCAAATAGCCATAATTTATCACGTTGAGATTGCAGCATCGCGACGCACACAGATGAGCCGTAGATGAGTCGCCGCGTTTGTATTTTGGCTGTTGGCCGCCCAGGGGTTCACATTCCCGTTCACGCTCGGGTTCGTGCTCGGATTGGGATACGGGCCGCAACACCCAGCCCAACCCTTTTTGGTATGCCAACGGATTACCATGCTATTGTCCCTGCCGCATGCCCCCTTTACGAAGGATAGCAATGCCAAAGGCTGAGCGCTAAACGCAATTAGGCATGCGACAAGACCGCGGACGTCGACGTTGCCCTCGGCCGCTATATTGGGATTTATGGTATTCTTTTTAATCAAATTTATCTTAATGTCTGCGATAAAGGTGAAATAAATCGCGGAGATTTATTAGCGCTAATTTACGCAGGTGACTATGAATGGCAATTGTATAATAAGCACATTAAAATACAGCCCAAAACGGCTAAATCCATTCATCATATTTGAACTATATTTCATTCACGTGACCCAGTCAATGGGTAAGCAACAGTTGTTCAAATTTAAAGTAAAGTTTAAATTTCGTCAAGGTCTTGATTTAATTGGCATTTATATTGTATTAATTTTTCAAAGTTTAATT